GTGTAATATATGTAATGTATGTAATATTCACTGTCGCTGACGCAGTTAGGAATAAAAGAAACGAGTGGGCGCTCTCTGAATGGACCGCATAGACGATGATGTATAAATCGAATCGTTGAAATTGATGAAAAAGAGGAAAAATGATTGATACGCGTAATCGAAACGATATTTTCCCAATGCTTGTTTGCCGTTGTTGAATATGCTCTCTCACGGGCGCGAAAACGGGCAGCGTAATGGTGAAAAGAGCTCTTTTTGAAACGTTTATTTCAATTTCATTAGCCATTCAACGGAATGAACAAGAATTTAATTTATTCCATTCGGCCGGTCGAATGACAGACCGGACATTCAATCGAATCTGCGGAAATAACACGCGAGATGCTGAAAATTGTATTAATAAAAGGGACGGTTAAAAAAACGGGGCGCGTATTTATGGCCGTCACAAGCGACGGTCGATGTTGATACACTACGTGTACGTATCTACGTGTGCATCTATGCACGAGCACGGCCGAAAATCGAACGGAGGCCGCACGCAAATGGGTTATATCGGTGTTTAATTTCACGCTTACCGACAACCTCGAGGAACAGAAATATACTCGTGGGTGGATGGGTGGATACTTGGCACTGGTACAATCCGGCATCCCTCGGTTGAACGTATTTTATTTGAAGAGTCCAATCCTCGCTGTGGTGGTAATGAATTGCCTGGAACCGCTCGTCGTTGGCGTACGTTTTCAACCCTACGGTTAGTAACTCCTGAAGGTCCTTTCGCTTGATCCACGACACCTGAGAGCCGGGCAAAAAGTCTCGTTAACAAGAATGATCCATCGTCCCCGACCAGAATTGGTCATGAAACTGGAACCGGGAAAAAGAGGGACCTCCGTCTATAATGACAAGTGATCCACCTCTTTACTGCGGGCAGCTTGAATTTCACATTGCTGTCCGCCTCTGTCGTGTTAATTCGAATAAACGTGCCTGATCAATAGGTGATAAAATGATTTTTAGTATCTAATGTTATGCCACCGATATTTTAATATCTGATCTGACTATGATTTAAGATATATTACCATATTTCTAAAATTAATGTCTCGGTTTGTAGTAAACCACAGCCCCAATTAAGGACGTATTGGGTATACAGTCAATCCCAAAAGTTTATGTACCTTAGAAAAACGTATTTCCTATAATTAAAAAGAAATCAGACGTCGGAAGAACAATGTACAATAAACGTACTAAAAAGTATAGAAGGAAATATCTAATTAAGTATTGACGCTGACGAAAAATTGACGAGTTATTGGCCAAAAACGAAAATTTGGAAACAATTGAAGAGATACCCCTTGGAAAAATCTCGAAAAAATTGAAAAATTTTTTGTTGTTGTTTATCATTAGCATTGTTCTTTCGACGTCTGATTTCTTTTTAAAAAATGCGTTTCTAAAGTGCATAAACTTTTGGGATTGACTGTATTGCCAATACATCCTTAAAGCTAAAAGAATTCAAGAATTATATTTATAAAAATAATTCATGTATAACAAATAGAATACAATGGATCTTATAAACCACTAAATATACATAGTACATACTATAACTCTCTGTATTATGAAAAATACAGTAGTGGAAAGAGATTAACATAGAAAGGTGTAATTAATAGGAAAGATCACTGAGAATTAATAGATAAAATCTAGCTGCGTAACTGGCTTCGGACACCAAAGTTTTTTACCGTACGTCACTGAGCCAGAAAGCCAAGTCATCTGATTTTAATATTTGATAAGAATCTGATTTAAGTGAAATATTAAATTTGAATAAGAAGATGTATAAATATTTACGGCAAATTTAATAAACTCTGAAGCCGACATTGGGCAGATTCGAATTAATACTATATACATACCTACTATGGAATGTGCGGATCGCCTTTATTACAGATCCAATTTTTCATCGTTCGTTCGCTGCGATATTGGGAACGTTCTATCGTCCGAGAAAAATCGGTTAATAAAAAAATCAGCGGAGAGTAATTTAGTTCTTTCTACTCCATTCTGTTGACAAATACGTGCAGTTATTGGCCAGGATTTTAATTAATAGTTTGATCGTCGCTCCTGTGTGTAAAATAATTCGCAACTATCGCGATATTGCTCGCGGCAACTATCGTGATATTGCCCGAAGGAACAAATAAGCACCGTGTCTGCTCGCGACGCTCACTATTCACTTCCATGTAATATCGAGCTTCTTGGTCTCTACCATTGTCTGTCTATTACGGTCAGTAACTACAGTCCCGACGCTACAAGTACCGACGCTGCCATTAATCACGGTATTTTCTATCTATCGTCTATCGGAATAACCCAATGTTCGTTTCGTCATCGTCATTAACCTTTTTCATGTTCCATTCGTCGATCGATACGGTTTTTTATCCTGTTTATATCGAAGAAAGCGCATTCATGTCGGGCTTACGTCATCTTGAGGAGACTTTAAAAACGATAAATGATGAGAATTTCTTCTCTAACTATTCTGTTCCCTTTAACCCTTAATTTACCATGAATCGAGTCCCTTTATATAACTCGGGATAATGTATCGTGAAAGAGGAATAAAAAAGAAAAGTGAGATTATTACGATAAAGAATGTTCCACGGCAAGTCGAACAATTACACCTAATTTTCGTAGTCTATCGATGCAAGCAAGTTAAACCTGTTTTGCGCGCGTTCATTAGCTCAGTTTGAAAGTTCACCAAGGCTCAACTATCTAACGGTGATCGCAGTTTCGTAACTCCCTGTCGAAAACTCTTAACGGTGGTGCAAACAGCGCGCACGTATGACAGACGGGTAAATGCAGTACGTCAATAGTCATCGGTAATTGCCGAACACGTTCCACCACTTGATTTCGTGTGCCTGAGAGTAAGCAAGAAATGTCCTCGGCCAGAATAATTCCAGGGACTGTGACACAGAATGATTGCAGAGCTCGTGAACGGAATTGACGATGGAATTCTACATCGCGCACGATCTATAGGAAATTATACTGCCGGCTAGTTCGTGTTTATTTAAAAAATTATGCACTACCGTTTTACTGAAACACCCTGGAAATTCCCACGGCTCTGTTTTTCTTTAAACAGACCTGTTTGAAAAACGTAACTATCCCGAGATCCATTACCTCACCCTTCTTAAATAAGCATCACGGTACCGCTACTGCGTTGGTTTTCGACGAAACGCGACCGCGGCGTCACTTGCAGTGACGTTTTTTTTATATCTCGTGCTCTATTTAACGTGAAATGCTGATTTAACACGTAATTTATACAACTCATGGTGCAGGCAATCGTCGGATGTCTATTAGACGAGCTGTACGCGTAATGCCCCGTGACTTTTACGTCTGCCACGCGATTTAGTGACTATTCTCGGCGAACTTGGCTATAGTTAAAAACGCGGAAGCCAACCGCGACAAGTGCCGCCGATGGGGATAATCCACGGGATGATGTCACCTCTCGCAGCTGGAATCGGCCGTGAAATCTGAAAGGCGGAGAGCAAGTTTCAGCTACGGCGATAGAATCTTACCCCTATACGTCTTTATGTCCATCATAAAGTTTAGGCACCTAGTAACAAGGAATACGAGTGCTTTCAGCGTGAGATTGAATTCTTGATATTTGTCTAAGTGAAATGTATAATCTTTTTATAACGTGCACATTTACCACCCTCTATCCTCCAATTTCGTCCTTTTGCCCTCTCGAGAATCAGTCAATTATTATATCTTCCGTGCTTTTAATCTTCTAATTTGCCATCCGATGAACGAAGAGGAAAAGAAACAAGAAAAGGAAACCGGGATAATCCAACGAACTGTACTTGTATCGGGAGAACGCAAGGTACTTCCACCTCTCCTGGAAACGATATCAAACACTCAACGAGAGATTAAATGGAATGATTCCGCTGGCACGGTGCAAGGGAGAAAGATTGCACGGCCTGGCAGAAAAATTGACCGTGGAATTGGAAAGAGAAACGAGAATGCGAGAAAGAGAGATTTGTCTTCAAACGATAAGATCTCGCCCCGGACGTTAAGCTCGACGTGTCGCGGGGCTTTCTTCGCAAATGGCTATCTCTTACCACGAGTTAGTCCTTTAATGCGTGCTCCTCATTAACATGTAACGAGCATATTTCAACTGACGCGATATTTTATGCGCGCTATTCTCTCTTAGAACCCAACCTCCATTCCGTCTGCAACCCTCTCCGCCTTGCTCCAACTCGAAACTTTTACGTAAGACATCGCCGTGAGACGCAGCGGTGGTATTTAAAAAGCGGAAAAGGATGCCAACAACTTGGGAACGGGACTGGAACGATTACCTAGGCCATGAAGCCGAGCATTGGCTCCATCTCCAAGAATAATGAGAACCGACGGATAAACAGCCAACAGGAAAGAAGACAATAAGAGCAAGAAATGGAAGGAGAAACTGTCTCCAGGGGCAGTTTCTCACGTACGCTTGAAATTCGCTCGCGAAACTTTTATCGTCCTAGCTAGCTGAAATATTCGGCGAATGAAAACAGGCGGGAGGGAGTAAGGAAAAAAAATCGAGGGAAATCGCGGAGGAACGTGTACCCGTAATTAGGTGAGCACCGTAATGAATTTCGATCGGACGTAATCAAATAGATACAGTGGATCGTGAGTTATGCGGCTCACGTTTCTCTTTAAACCTTCCAAAGACTTATCACGCTCAGCCTTCGAACTGATTACATCGTACACTTGATTAGTGGAACACAGAACTATAAATGATCCGCAGGAATCGCGGAATGCGTTACGTATAAACACGAAACGCGTCTTAGAAATCATGGAATTCCTTGCGATACGGATACCCTATTATACTGATCCTCGCATGGTTTCGCAGAACTAAGCGTGCACCGTTGCTGTCGCGCCGCGTCACTTTGCCTAATGTCGGATCGGGTAAAATAACCTTCCAGGTAGTCGCGGTAAATTCCTACAAGTACCTGTGGCTGTCGAGCAGTGGCTCGAATTCGTATCGAAGCGCCCAGAGAGAAACGTGGAACGAAAGCAGCGAATTAAATGGAACATGCATGGTGCCGAAGAGCGCGAACGGGTCGAGTGGCCTTGTGCATCGCTGTACTGCAAAATTCCTGTTTATTATAAAAAACGAATGAAGTTTTTTTCATAGCAGGAGAGCAGATTCAACTTGTCGGTGTAAATAAGCTCATTTAGTCTCCTGTTCCGATATTGAAACAGGTATTTTTTATTCCTGGTAAATATTCAATTTGCAGTCGACGAACGAAGCATTCGTGAATTACATTTCGAGTGTTATAATCCAACGAAATATGATTAAAATGCACATTTACGAACTGTATATAAATTAATATACTTGCATGCCAAGTGATATTAATATTTATATTGATCGTATCAAACTGGATTGAACTGAGCAGAAGTATCGTACATGTACATAGTGCTCCATAGTATATAGAAAGACATACGACCGATGTAGGTACATCTAGAAATACGTTTGTAAATATTGATAGACGAATACTAGAACATCCTCCACCTATTCACCTATTTACTGCTTTTATAGTAATTTTCATATTTCTCATTTTTTCACAATCTGTGTTTTAATTATGTATGCATAGATTTAACGCAACTATAGAATGTGAAAGAATGTAAATGGGAAGATTTTTCATCGCAGAGACGATTAATTCAGTTTCCGTCGGTGTATCGTGATTAATATTTGTTTCATAAAAGCAGGGTTTTAATTAAACCACATGCGTTTCTGCTCCCTGCAGTCTTCCATTCGATTTGCGTTCCGTTTAAATTATTATTAA